TGGTGTTATTAATACCGTTATACAAAACTATGCATATATATCAGTAATATACCGCTATATATTGCATAAAATTATGTAACTTTTCATGTTTAAGTGTGAAAAAAGGGTAGTGGTATGCTAGAGTAATAATATAGTAGACTCTATATAGTGTCTCTATAATTCTTTTTCTATGGCTACTACCGCTGTGTCGGTAGCATATTGATTAACTTAAAACATTGATTTGACACGTTTCCTGTCATGCAAGCAAACCTTTTTTCATCCCGGCGTTTTTAACTAAACAGTAAAACTAAAATGAAATAAAAGAAAACGTGTTTTCATGAACTACTATCAAGCAATGAAAATATCAATTAGGTATACGACGCACCTAAGACAAAGTAAAACATTTACATTATAAAAGTAGTGCCTATAGGCATCATTTCCACACAGTATAGGTGTCATTACATGTGTAATCTTAGAAAATAAACATGTCTATGCATTATGCAAACTGAAATGATACACTAATTGCGTGAATACAGTGGGGAAAATATAATAAATAAATAAATATATAAGTAGGTTTTAGCATAATTTTATGGTGCGCTGTTGCCTGAAAGCCTTATGTTGTCCCACCAAATAAATACAATACATTAATTACCGTTTTAGATGCACAGATCTTCATCGCTTCTCTTCACATCAATAAATATCCTAAACAAAACACGTTGTCGTTAATAATCTGGAATCCGCATTCGCTGTATATAGTAGTAGATTTAGTATTGTCAAAACCATATCCATGCCACACACTCAAACCTTGCATGCTACATACGCCACAGATTGGCTGCCTGGGAGCTGAGCATTTGGCCACCCCAATCACACAAAGCGCGTGTAATCACATGGTTTGCAATGCCAATTACTTTGTGGTATCGCAACTCGTACGCCGTGCAAAACATGCAGGAAAGCGATGAGCAGGAAATTATTTCTATGGTAGAAAAAAGTTTCCTTATTAAACTGAAACAGTTCCGGGTAGATTTCATTATTTATTTCTCGCCAAAATGTCCAGTGTTTTTCTATTCGGTTTTTTTTTATTGCGAGCTCTGAGAGAACCCGGCGCTATGCGAGTATTTGTTAGATGCTTTAATACAAACTACGGAAAATCGCTACACAATAATTATACACTAATGCCCCAAATTTTGCCACACCACTACCCATTTAGGTGAATTAGTCAGATAAAAATGCATATATTGGCAGTCTTCGTTAGCTGTAAACGTAATGAATACTAGTAGTGTTTGATGGTTGCAGAATATTATTTTGTTAATCAGCATGCAGCTTACGTTTCCAGATTCTGAATACTTGAACCTGCCGATCATGAGCGACAATGATGTCACGCGGTTGTGTAAAGTTTCTGCTCGCTCATGTCTAAAATGTCAGCTAATTTCCTACCGCATTCAAAAATAACTTGTATAATTATTTTAGCATTGGCTATGGATGACCAAGGTGTTTTCGTATAAGTGTTACGTTATGTTGTTCATGTAGGCCTAGGTAGCATTCACAGCAAAATACGGAGTGTGTAAATTTCACAGTTTTCCGTCGCGGTTGCAATCAATATTCATGTACATTGGATACAGACATCGACAGGCATAGTGAGTTAGACTATAACCATCTATATCTGGACCATGTAATACCATTTAATAACTATAACCATAGACACGTGTGTGTGTGTGTGTGTGTGTGTGTGTGTGTGCGTGGTGTTGTGTGTCGTGTGTGTGTGCGTGGTGGTTGCGTGTGTGCTGGTGCGTGTGTGCGTGTGTGCGGTAGTGCGTGGTGCGTGTGTGGCGTGTGTGCGTGTCCGTGGTGTCGTGCCGTGTGTGCGTGTTGCGTGTGGTGCGTGCTGTGCGTGTGTGCGTGTGAAGCGTGCTGTGCGTGTGTGGGTGTGGCGTGTGTGTGCTGTGCGGTGTGTGTGTTGCCGCGCGCCGCGCGAGCTGCGGTGTGTGTGTGTGTGTGTGTGCGTGTGCTGTGTGTGTGCGTGTGTGGTGTGTGTGGTGTGTGTGATGTGTGTGCGTGGGTGGTGTGCTGTGGAATGTGTGTGTGTGCGTGTGTGTGTGTGTGTGTGTGTGGAGTGTGTGGTTGTGTGTGACTGAGAGAGGAAGCAGTGTGTGTGGATGCGTCTGTGCGCGACGCGCGTGTGTGTGCTATGGGGGTGTGTGTTGTTGGTGTGTTGTGGTGTGTGTTGGTGTGGCGGTGTGATCGCTACGAGCTCGCGCGCGGTCGTGCACGCTTGTTAGCTCGCTTGACTAGTGAGATGTATACACATTACAGTAAATGTTAGAGACAAGCCTTGGGCCAGATTTATCATTGCTTCTCAGCACGGCGGGCTGGCGTAAGCGGGGCGTAGGCATGCCGTGCCGCTTAAGTGCGATTCATCAAGCCAATTAGCCTACGTCAACGTAGCCCGCGCATACATAGCAATTTAAGTTGCGATTCATCAACGCGCTACGCTGACGTCTATGGAAAGCATTTTGTACCAAAAAGCATAAAACTTAGTTTTAGACCTTAAACCGGTTTTAAGGTCTAAAACTAGGTTTTAAGGTCCAAAACCCTGATTTAAGGTCTTAATACCTAGTTTTAGACCTTAAAACCTAGATTTAGACCTTGAAACCGGGTTTTAATATCTTAAAACCAGGTTTTTAAGGCCTAATACCCGGTTTTATGGCTGAAAACTAGGTTTTAAGAGCTTAAAACTAGGTTTTACGCTTTTCCAGGTCTAAAACCAGGTTTTAAGGTCTAAAACCAGGTTTTAAGGTCTAAAACCTAGTTTTAGGGCGTAAAACTTGGTTTCAAACCTTAAAACCGGGTTTTAAGATCTTAAAACTAGGTTTTAAGAGCTTAATTCCAAGTTTAGAGCTTAAAACCGGGTTTTAAGAGTTTAAAACTAGGTTTTACGCTTCCCCGAGGCATTTAGCTCCTGATTGGCTAGTTTGCTTATATGCTAGTTTTTGCGGGACTGCGATACAGTTCCTGGCGCGGAAAACGAACAAGGAGGGGAGAAGCTGGTGGAGAAGGAGGAGGGAGAGAAGCTAGTGGAGAAGGCGGAAGAGGAGAAGGGAGAAGGAGGTGGAGAAGGAGGAGGGGGAGAAGCTGGTAGAGGAGCAGGGGTAAAGCTGGTGGAGAAGGAGGAAGGGGAGAAGGTGGTGGAGAAGGAGGGGGGAAGCTGGTGGAGAAGGAGGAAGGGGAGAAGGGTGAAGGTGGTGGAGAAGGAGGAGGGGAGAAGCTGGTAGAGAAGGAGGAGGGGAGGAGGAAGGGGAGGAGGCTCCACCGGCTTCTCCTTTCTCCCCTTCCTCCTTCTCCACCAGCTTCTCGCTTCTTCCCCTCCTCCTTCTCCACCAGCTTCTCCCCCTCCTCTTTTTCCACCAGCTTCTCCCTTCTCCCCTTCCTCCACCAGATCCCTTCACCCTCCTCCCCCTCCTCCCCTTTCTCCTTCTCTACCAGCTTTTCTCCCTTCCTCCTCCACCACCTTCTCCCTTCTCTCTTCTCCCCCTCCTTCTCCCCTTCCTCCTTCTCTACCAGCTTCTCCCCTCCTCCTTCTCCACCACCTTCCAGCTTCTCCCCTTCCTCCTTCTCCACCAGCTTCTCCCCTCCTGTATCGCAGTCCCGCAGAAACTAGCATAAGCAAACTAGCCAATCAGGAGCTAAATGCCTCGGGGAAGCGTAAAACCTGGTTTTAAGCTCTTAAAACCTGGTTTTAAGCTCTTAAAACCCGGTTTTAAGCTCTAAACTTGGAATTAAGCTCTTAAAACCTAGTTTTAAGATCTTAAAACCAGGTTTTAAGGTCTAAAACCAAGTTTTACGCCCTAAAACTAGGTATTAAGAGCTTAAATCCGGGTTTTAGACCTTAAAACCGGGTTTTAGTGTCTAAAACTAGGTTTTAGTGTCTAAAACTAGGTTTTAAGCATTCGAGAGCTTAAGCTCTTAAAACCTGGTTTTAAGCCATAAAACCGGGTATTAGGCCTTAAAACCTGGTTTTAATATCTTAAAACCCGGTTTTAAGGTCTAAAACTAGGTATTAAGACCTTAAATCCGGGTTTTAGACCTTAAAACTTAGTTTTAGACCTTAAACCCGGTTTTAAGGTCTAAAACTAGGTTTTATGCTTTTTGGTACAAAATGCTTTCCATAGACGTCCACTGTGTATAACTCTACGACAGCCAGAGAGCTGTCGTAGCTGCACTGCGGCGTGTATAAACAGCGTGTTTTCGCACAGTCAGTGCCTATAATGTTGTAACAAAAAGTGTTTGTTTACACCTACACTAGTTTATGACACCTACACTAGTTTAAGGCTGGTGGTTGGAACCAAAGACTTTCTGTTGACATCCTGCTTAGACAAGCATCCACGTAAGTTGGGGCGAGTCAATCGCACACACACGCGCGCACACCATACATCAAAAAGTCAGTGGACGAGATGGCAGCGTTTGCAGCAGCGGCAGCAATAGTACAGAGCCGAGCAATTCGCAGAGAGCGTGTATTTAGAGATCAGCAGGATCCATTCGATTTGCCGGACCACACGCTGTTCAATCGCTACAGATTCCTCGGCATGCATTGAATGGCGAATTGAGATTTGGCAAATGAACTTTGCCCGTTAATAGAGCTACCAACAAGGTTTGTTTTAATTACTAATCTGTTTAGGATAAATATAATATTATTATGCAATACTAAATTGGTGATCCTGCAGAGCTATAATGAGTATAATTATGCAGTGAGCTCTCCTACATTAATGATTGCATTGAAACGCGTACACTTGAAAAGCAGATTTATAATGAGCATTAAATTTAAACTAGAGTGCATTCAGTTTAAATGCTGTTAGCGATATTAGCAATGTTTATTTTTTTAAATACTGTGTTTGTTGATAAACCGTTTTTTCCCAAAAAGGCGAAGCATGGCAACTCCAGCAGTAACCTAGTTGGCAGTGACACTAATTAAGCCTACTTGCATCTGGTTCCTTCCAATGAGGTATGGGTGAACTGCACGGAATATCGCAGGAGACAGCTTGTCGTTGTTTGCATCGAGTTGTGTCCGTGATCATCAATGAAAAATTAAGAACAACGATCAAATTCCCTCAGACGCAGACCGAGAGAACGAAAGTGATGAATGAATTCAGCCAGATTTCAGGGTTTCCCCGTGTCCGCACGAAGAGAAGAGAGAGGAGAGAAGAGATGAGAGAGAGAGAAGAGAGTAAAGAGAAGATCGCAAAGAGAGAGAGAGAGAGACGAGAGAGCGCAAGAGAGAGAGAGAAGAGCGCGCGAATGAGAGAGAGAGGAGAAAGAGAGAGAGAGAGAGAGAGCGAGAAAGAGAGAGAGAGAGAGAGGAGAGAGATGAGAGAGAAGAGAGAGAGAGAGAGAGAGAGAGAGAGGAGAGAGTGGCGGCACAAGAGAGAGAGAGCGAGAGAGACGAGAGGAGAAGAGAGAGAGAGAGAGAGAGAGAGAGAGGAGAGAGTGGCGGCACAAGAGAGAGAG